TGGTAAATATAAAAAAAAAAATTGAATAGTGCATCTATACTAAGTGGTGAGAATTAGAAGCAAGTACTGTGGTGGCGTCACGCTGGTGCGCAGGTGGTACACATGCATTACTCACCTCATCATTGGGGAATTGGGGAATCGTTGGTTGTTTTAAAAAAAGCAAACAAAAGCATTGCCAACTTCTTGTAACTGTCCAATCAAAATACATGTAAGTGTGTTTACTTGAACGTAAATTGCTATGTTGGTGGCAGATTGACAGATTTGAACACGGTGATCCATCTATACATGTGTTCCATCACTAACAATGATGTCTTGCTTATCTTTTTTTAGATGGTATCGTGTCTTAAGTATCCATTTCCCAGCATCAAATATCCATTTCCCAACATCGCCAGCCAACGTGACATTCCAAGCCTGTTTTGATGAGTGCATCTCTCCCGAGATTTCCAAATTCCAATTAAGATTGAGGAGAGCTTTTGTGTGTGATATCCCAATGACTTTTTTTGGATACTGAAGCTGTCAAAACATGACAGGTGGTTTCTTTCCTTATTACTTGGGGGTGTGTATATTTAGAAAGAATCAGAGAACATCTTGCTGGAGTTACTCAGGCTCTGATTCTCAAAGGAAAAAAAAGTTGGCCTGTCATTATTGCTGCCAAATTGCCAGTGCTTCATAATCTTCAAGAAAATGTTCTAATGCTTGTGATATAAACATGTAACACTGGAATGTTATATCAAAATCAATTCGACCAAAGTCAAGGAGGTCAAAAAAGAAACTGGACTCTTATGAATTCAGAAAGAGTTGAATACTGTAAAAACAAAATCAAGTGTGGTAAATTTTTGCTATGTGTGCAAATACATATTGATTGAAATGTTGTTGGTTTGCTTTTCTTTTTTGTTGTTTTTATTTTTACTTTGGTTTGGCTATGATATACAGGGTTTTTCCCCCAAAATACACCCAAAACTAGCAGTTATTATTCTCCTAAAATATTTGTCAGAAATTGTTGGTTTTTGGTACCAAATTAAAACTTAGAATGTTTTTGTTTCAAAACTGAAAAATTGATGTAAATCCGGTGATGTCTTGCTAAGATAATCTTAATTATGTAAGACAACTGCTTTTTTATTCTGTCCGATGGGATTGACCACAGCAATCAAAATGCAATATTTACACCATTTCACATCCTTTCACACCTGAGATCATTGAAAACGCCAACAGAATGATACTGAACTGAGTAGGTTTCTGTTGTGTTAGGTTAAATCTCTTTTATTTCCATCAACAAAAAAGGATCCTGAAATGGTTCAAATGGTCAATGTTCCAGAAGTAAATAAAATCAGCATCTTGTTACAAACTGAATGAGGTAAATTGCACAAGTTCAAATGAAGTTTTTAATCTCTGAAGCTGTAAAGTTACATTTAATTAAATAACAATCAATTTCATGAAGTTTAGAACTAGACAGAGATGCAACAAAAGTATGGAAGAAACAGTTGCTTGATACTGTGAGTTCTGAATTCATGGTGATTTCGTACCTTTGCCAAATAACAAAACTGAGTTGTGTTAAATTACTAAAAGTATCATGGAAATTGGTGATTTCTGACCATTGGTTTTGGAGTAAATGAATTTTATATTTGGGTTGTGTTTTTAACACCCTGTGTACATATTTTCTATTGGTTCACAGGCAGGCTCTGTGCTGTAAGGTGGCTGTAAAATACCGGTACGACGCATTTTTAGAATCGGGAAAAAGGTGAGCTTTGAAATTAAATTGAGATTTTGTCATGAAAGAAGTGTGCAAGTATACAGACTACTGCATTACAGGAGTGCATTGCCCATGTTGCTGCATGAATGTGGAATAACAGATGTGAATAGACTGATGTTGCATTTCTCATCAATGGTAACATCAGATTCAGGGTCACTCCCTCTATTTTAATTGTTTGAAAAATTGATTACCACTTTGCGAATTTCAAGCCTTTTGTGTATTCAACAACATCTGGGCTGAGAAATGACCAGGTTTTTGAAATTACTTTGTCAAACTTGTTTGTTGCAGTAATGTGGTAATCTGTTAAATGTTTGTACACGATATCCACTTTGTCATTTGGGTGGATGAAATGTGTTCAATCAAAAATGGTACCAGTGGGGATGTAGAATTGCTGATGGGTTGCAGCGATTGAAAATGTTGCCAGTATTGTTTCATGTCAATTTGCGAATTTCCAGAAATTAAAGAAATGGAGCAGATTGAATGGAGAGGGGGACATCATCTGACATTGTAGGGGGCAGTGTTCAAGGCACCTGGAATGCAAACCATCTGATTGTAGGGGCGTTGGTCATAGGGACACTTGTTGCTGACATTTTCTTGGTTTTGCTGATAAGAATGATGATTTTACCCTTAAATATGGATAACGCCACACCCCAATTCGGAGCAATACCTGGTCTAACAGACTTTGACCCTTGCTAAACTCGCTGGCAAATTTGAGTGGTTTTCAAGATTAATGTTGGGGGAGAGAATGATTGTTGAAATGTATACCTGTAGTTTTTAGAATCGTGCCCACACTATGCTGTCAGTTTTATTTATGACAGAGTTCCAGATTTCTATCTCGCGTTCCTCAGTACGTGTAAATAATCTCCTCAGAAATTGCTACCCAGGGCTTTCCAAAACAACAGCAGCAGTCATTGGTACTATCGAGCTTTAGCCCTGTAAAGTGTCTGAACAATTACTTTAAAATTAAAAGAGGACCATTAGGGTGACAGATTTTGTCAGTTTCTAAGATTTGTTAATGTGACTTTGTTCTGGTCCTTTTTAGGTGGTTTTGCCACTTGGACGATGATAACTACCTCAATGTGTTGAACCTATTGCAGCTATTACAAAGCTACAACCACCAGCAAGACCTGTACCTAGGTAGGGCCAGCCTTTCCCATCCCATACAGGCACTGGACAGGGATAAAGGATATGTGAGTATCTCACAATGGCCTAAACCTCCTCTTGGACCAGGTTCCCTGCTACAATCCTGGACAAAATAGTTGGAACAGCTTGTGGGCAGCACGGTGAAAAGATGCCCCCTCTCCCCCATTCAATGTTGCGGTCATTTATTGGACCAAGATTAAGCCCAGCTTACCCAATGAGAAACAACATTGACAGGGTGAGGGGAGGTATATTCCAACGAGATTTATCCAGGATTGTAGCTTGGAATGGAAAAATCTTCTAAACTGTGGCCCATTCAGGCTTTTGGCTTGGAGATCTGAGGTGTAACTTGGGTTTTCCCCAGAGGCAACATACATGTACAAAGCCTGTTACACCTGGTAACCTTGAGGTAGCCTCCAGGAAAACCTTGCATTACTGCCTGTTTAATTTGCATGTCCACCACGCTGTGTGCCTTGTATACTTTAGCCAGTACTGCTGGCTGGTGCCTAAGTTGCTTGTATCCATTGTCCTTTCCAAAGGCAGCAGTGACCTTTTTTGTTGAGGCATATGATGTTGTTTCTCCGATTGATAGATTTAATTTAATTAATTGAATAGAATGTGCTCGCCCTGAGGGAAGCAAAGCTTTCATGCTAATTTACGGTATTTGCTTTGATTTGGCCACTTAGAAGTTCAAATAATTTATTATGGAAGGCTGAGTCAGTTTAAATATTTGCATATTCAACTTCCATTCGCTCAAATATTCCATTATTTGGTTGTACCAAATTCTCACAAAAGTAAAAACAAAATATACATGTTTTAAACCCCCCCCACGTTCAGGGAAATTAATTTTTGGACGTAGTGATCGGCACATGTATTCAGATGCCTTTCCGTTACACATAATATCTTGATGTATGTGTTTAGAACACAATTTCTAATCCAATGATTGAACTGTTCCGTTTTATGACACTGATTTTCACCTCCAAATTTTCAGTTTTGAAAATATACATGTATATCTCACAATGAATCAAATTGGTACAAATAATCGGAACAGCCCTATTGCTATGTGTATCTGTGTATCCTTCACAATTTTTTAAACAATATTTGTTGCCACCCTTGTGGGATCAGAGCATGATTAAAAATAGAGCAAGGCCAATGATCATTTTGGAAGTGGCTCAATAACAAAGTGGCATCG